ATATTAAATATAGTACATATATTTTTTTACAACATTTTATTTTTGAAGTTTAAATTTTATATCAAATATAATAATTAATTAAGATAATAATTTTAATTTACATTGATCAAGATTCTAATTTTAATTTACAATAATAAATATTATATTTAAATTTTATTATTTTTTAAAAAATTAGAGAAGAAAGAAATTTTCTCTTTTATTATTTTTTAATTTAACTTCATAATCCAAGCTTTTATGTGTTCTTTTCTAATGTAATTATACCGTTAAATTTAATAAATTGTTTATTAATTATGTAATTTATTTCAGTTTAATTTTAAAAACAATTTTTTTTTTCAGAATGATTTATAAACTATCAATTTTGTTTCAAAACGGTTTACTTGACAAACAGTCTATTAATTAAACCAACGGAGTTCTTGTTGCAGTTGACATGTGCTTCTTAAACTTTTGAAAAATGTTAAATATAGTATATATATTTTTTTACAACATTTTATTTTTGAAGTTTAAATTTTTATCAAATGTAATAATTAATTACGATAATAATTTTAATTTACATTGATCAAGATTCTAATTTTAATTTACAATAATCAATATTATAATTTAAATTTTATTATTTTTTAAAAAACATAATACCATTATTAAATTACATATTTTTTCACTTATTTGTATAGAAAAATAAAAAATTTTATTTTTATTTTTAACACTAATAATACATGCATGATTTTAATTTGGGAATTTATAAAATTGAAATGAATTTTTATTTTTTTAGGGAATTTTAATTATGTGTGGGTGCTCATTTAATTAAATTAAATTTTGAAATGGTTTATTTATTAAAAATATTAATATTTAATAACAAATTAAATTTTTTTAGAAATAATAAAATTTAAATTATAATATTGATTATTTTAAATTAAAATTATAATCTTAATTAATGTAAATTAAAATTTCATCTTAACTAATTATTATATTGGATATAGAATTTAAATTTTAAAAACAAAATGTTACAAAAAA